GAGAGAGAGAGAAGTCAATAATCAGAGGCTGATTAGGTGGGACGGCAGGAAAAGGAGAAGCCCCCACTCCCCCCACTGTTTATTATGTGGGCCGCCTCTTTTTCTATCAAGAACAGCTGCCCCGCCACTGCAAAGAACCCCGCCATCACGCTTCGCATCAGACAACCTTTCCCAAAACAACGCATCGCAGCATTAGGTGCGGTGAAACACAACGGCCGGCATTCAAAGAATGCTTTCGTACGACCAAACCAAAGTTACCAAACCAAGTCCTATTGGCATGAGCTCGGCCCAACAGTTGAAAGATCACGAAGAAAGACAAACGAACAACAAAAGCAAAGCGTATGAGGCAACGGCGACAAGGGACAAAGGCTGGAGGGTATGGGAGAGGAGGGTGGGCAGACAAACAACACTAGGCAGCACAGGAAAAGACGACACGCTAAGCAACAGCATTGGACATTCAAGCAGCAGCAACAAGGGAGAACGGCTGGAGGGCACGGGGGAGGTGGGTGGGCAGACAAAACAGCATTAGGAAGCATGCTCATTATAACAAACGCCTTTTAAGCCGCACCTTTTAAGCCAGACTTGTCTTCAGTCTATAGAGTGGACACCAAATAAACCAAGAGCGAAAAAAACTAAACAAATGGATCAAAGGGGCTTTGAAACCCCAAGGGGGAAGTGTGTTTTCATGCAAATTTTGCTCTTTTCAGTTTTTCAGGATTTTCAGGATTTTGAGGGCTGTCCAAAACAGTTATCTCCAAGACCCCAACAAAGACCAAACTTGGCACACGCAGACCTTGACCAAAAATAAAACAGGGCAAAAAAAAAAAAAAAGGAAACCTTAAAAAAAATCCCCAAGCGCACTTCTCAGTGGTGGGGGTGTTAACCTGGAGCTGAAAAGCGGAGGTCCCTGTTAACCACTTGTGAGAAATTGAGAATAAGAGAGATCACGCCAGGACGCGGCAGGACAAAGAAACAAGAAGACAAACAAGAGAAATACAAGTCCCAAAAAAATGCAAATGCCGAAAAAAATAAAACTGATGGTGAAAG